TACCCGTTGGGCCGTATGTCTCGACAGTCAAGCTTGCGCATTCCAGTGCACGACATGTACAATGTACATGTAGGTCAAGCTGGCCAGCAGAGAGTCGTCAAATACATGTATGGTATTTGACGACTCTCTGCTGGCCAGTTTCATGAAGAAGAGAGCAATGATAAAGATACTGGAAAGGAAAAGGACAAAATGTTACGAGTTATGACTAACTGTCGACCAACAACGTAACCAGATCATATACAGTCTTCGATTGCGACTACCAGGTACATGGCACAAAACTGACAGGGAGTACAGAGACATTCAATGACCGTCACCCAGCTCCAACACGTCTACGAGGCGCAAACCAACTTTCCAAGTTGGAACGCTCAGGTTCGGAAAGGTCCAAGAGGGACAGCCGTACGAAGAATAGCACGAGCTTACTACGCCCAACGGCAACAAAGAATGCCGAAAGTTAGTGGATGATTACGAAACTGATAATACATTTGGACATACATGTACCCTGTTGACTAACACTGTCTTTTTTTGCCTTTTTGTCGCACTGGCTTACTGGATAATGATCTGGTTACGTTGGCGGGCAGTTTAGTCATAATTTGTGACATTTTGGCCTTCTCCTTTGTTCCATGATTACAGTGGCTTACCATCAGAGTAAAAATAATAATGCAAGTGATAGTGATCCATACAGCTCTTGTGAAAAATGAAATGAGGGCCATGCATCTGTCGACAACGTCGAGCCAGTAATTCTGTCTCAGGCAAGTTGCCCCGGCGACCTCTGGGTAATGGAGCAATAATGCAGGATGGAACACACAGGAATTGACTTTAGCCGCTGACCACACAGCATGTACAGTGTGCATGTACATGTTAATAGGTCCGGGAGTAGAAAATACCCTTTCGGATTGTATGAACAGAAATCCTTCATCGCATAACACATGACGTCACCATACTGACACGATGACGTTGTAGTAATCTCACACTCATAGTCATAGCTCCCACATCAGGTGGCCCATGGCAGATAATGATCGAACAATTGGCAGATTCTGTTCGAAAAGCAGTGAAATTGGCAGAACCATACAGACCTTGTGACTTCCTTGAATTCTGCTTCATTTATTTATCCAAATACCAAACATGCATGCAACATACCACGAAAACAAACTACCAAATTCTGCCATGTTTCTGCCGGCAATGGCCCGGCGTTCATCCGGCAAGTGCCACGGTATCAGATACACGTACAACGTACAGGACTGGCCCAGTCAATTCACACCTTTTGGTTACTTGTACAATGTATACATTGTATACATGTACATGTATGTAATGTGTCAAAATGATTGGCGCTCAAATATTCGTAACCTGTTTTTCCTTTGTCTTCTCTCACCTGGGAGTTGGGTGTGTGATTCTTGAAAGTATAAAACCCTAAAGGGATTGGTGTAGAGAAGCATGTTTTCGCCGGCACTGAGTATTTTGTAAATTTACGAGAAAGATGAAAATTGGGTATCTCCAGGGACACAAGGGGTGCTCAAAGGAACGTAGGCTTTTTGTTGTATGGTAATCAGAGGTTCATTGTAAAAACTAATAATTAGACGACATAAAGAGATTCCTTTGGACGGGTATAATTTTGAAGTCCGGCACGTTCGGGCTCTCCGCCTTCTCCGTGAAATATGATTTGAGAATGATGTACATGTACATGTATAGGTAACCTAGGAAGGAGCTGCCATTAAGGGTATGCGTCGTCTAGTTAGGGCTGGGAAACTAACCTTGTTACCTGGTTGTGTCTTGTAGATGTATTTGGTCACAATTAAATCGTGCACGCCAGTATTATTATAATAATTATTATTATGCTCACACATATACATGTACATGAGTGGTAGATGTCTGAAGTTCAAAGAGGGCTGGTCCCACGATCTGCTGCGGGATGGTAATATGCAGCTGAACTGACTGACTAGGGGAACGGATCAAGCAAACGGTGTAGCGACACAATCATGTACTGTAACAAAGCCCTGTATACAATGCACATGTACATGTACATGATTATACTAGTAAAGTGCAATCTCACAACAAACGAACATAATACTAAATTGTATAATCATGACTTTGTATTCAATGACAATGTAACCCAGACATTAGGACTTGAACGTAGCAAAAGGCGCGGCGATCATTCGACAAGGGCACAGTTACTTGAACTCAGGTCAAGGAGCCGGTCGCGCAGCCCCAGATTTTCTATTTCGAAACGGCCAGACTCACACCCGCTTCAAAGCCGGCGTAAAGTCTACTTGCAGAATCTGATGTACTAGTAGATGTACAGTACGTACATGTACATGTACATGTGTGTCTACTCTATACATACATGTAATAGCTTTGGGGTACAGCAGGCAAGGGAGGGTTCATCAGCAGTCTTTCAATTTTGAAGGCCAGTTTCGTTTCTAGTCTGCTCCGTATGCGGCGTTTGAGTCCTGGTAGATTGGTGGTCATTCACAACACCCCGGAGACTATTGTATTCTCTATCATCAATCTGTGCACGGAGATGTCTCTGGAGATGTCCTGGGTTGGTTATGGGTTGACAACATCGGCAGTTGACTAGACCCACCTGTGACCACTCAAACAACTTCAAGCTGCTGCTACTAGATTTTACTAAATTCTTGTCATGCGCTTGTCTTTGGCTAGGTCGTCTGCCTTCTAAAGGAGGACCTCAATTATCTAGCTTCTTGCAACATTCTTTAATAGTTGGCTGTCATGTTATGCTTGTGTTCGCATTGAGTGCGCTTACCTTCCTCTTTCTAATGTTACTTCATAACTTAGAACCTTGCAAGTTTTAAGGCCGTTGGTTTGCGCATTCGAGATGTGGTGTAACATCATGATCATGTCGTTGAATGTCACATTGTCGGTACCATATCAGTCAGTATTGTGCTAAATGTGGCACCTTCTAACTCCACGTTATCTTGCGCGTAGTGGTAGACAAACCTCTGATAACATTTTGGTCCTTTCTTTTAACAATACCTGGACATGTAAAAAAAGGGATACAGACAGACACGAACACATTTTCCAGAAATACACAGAAGTTTGAGCACACAGCCATGTATGTAGATGGCACCCCGGCACGGTGTCAAACGTTGTAGCCTAGCACCATGAAACCTTTTCATACTGTCCTCAAAGGTCACTACATGTACTACATGTACTGCTAGTAGTAGCCTAGCTCACTGGCAAAACCTTTACCCTGGCCCCGACTGCGGCCAAGTTATATCCTGACATACTGCTAACAATTTCATCGCAGCGCCATCAGTTTCGCAAGGCCATCACCCCATTATCCTCAGTTGTCCGACAATAGTAATACATTTACTTATAACCACGATATTGTTACCCCGATATTGGTTATTTATAAGGTGCAACAAAATTTAATAGTAAATTACCTTACTTGTAGATGGTACGGACGACCTATCAGTTACTTACATGAGTTAGCTCCATCATGTCTGGAATGCACAAGCCAACAGCAGTTCAAGTTGCCAATACAAACAGGGGTCATTTCTGAGGAGTCAATCTGACCACGTGCACACAAGAACCACGTCGGTAACTTCACTACCCAGTCAACTGCATAACCCAATAGTTTCTAAGAACATTTCACTCCCATGATGTCCATCATCTGAGAGCTTTTGAAAATGTTTTGACAGCTGACTGAGGTTGAAAAAAATTAATGTGAAAACGATGTTCAGTGTTTTAGGGAACGAGCTTGTCAGCTCGAATGCCTTTCTTCTAAATGAAACTGCCAGAGGCCTCACCCTTACTTCTGACTGAGTTTAGCAATGGAATTAGCAACGTCTCGCTGTGTGCTAAATACATGTGAGCAGGGGAGAAACCCTATCCTTAGTGCAACGCTCGCAGCATATCTCACACGTGACCCCCGATATCAACGTTATTATGGTTACAGTCAACTTCGCTTATAACGACTGCGGATATAACGACAATTCGCGAATAACGACAGCATTTCCATGCCCAGAGCAAAGTCCCTTCCAACTGTAGTACATAATGACTTCGGGTATAACGACACTTCGCGAATAAGGACACTTTTTTTGATGCCCCGCCGAGTGTCGTTATAAGCGAAGTTGACTGTATAGAGGTCAACTGCCTAGACTGCCACTCCGTACAGAGAGGGATTCGGCAAGGTCGAAACAGCCAGGTGCGTGGAGAATCCTGTGCAGAGCCTGATTACATTCCGCATAGTAGGCATCGTGGCTATGTTGCTATTATTGATCAGAAAGTCCATAATTACAGAACACGCTGTCATGAATGTCATCATCCGCTGGACACCGCGGCTTGAAAATTCTGCCTGGAGTAAGGGGAGCTGGAATCTCTTCAACAAGAATGGAGTAATACTGTGACTTCGAAATCATTCCAAGGATCGAAATAGCCGATTAATGTACTGGCACGCAAAGTTGTGGTTATCCATACGATGAGTTGTGAAAGAAAGAAGGCACCCCTGCTGCTCTGGATTATCCCACGCACATCCCCACAACGCCGGACATTCCGTGCTTGACTCGACATTCATCCGGCAACTGCAGTCTTTCTATCTTCTCCTTCGAATGCGCAGTCACAACAAAAAAAGGTGGAGTGGAATGTGGATCTTTGCACTGTCCACAAACGCACGTGCGCGGAGAATCCACGCGTGTGTCTGCTAGGACATGCATATAGACTGAGAGACACTGTACTGCCTTTGCTGATTTTGGTCCAGTGTAAGGTGCTAGACCACTGCCCTGGCACTGCACGCAGACAGGCGCTGTTCAGTGTGTACGCGTAGATCTACGCGCGCTGTGGACCCATGATCCGGATATTCGCACGTGCAGGAACCGACGGCAATGTAGCAACAACTGCTGTATGTTACAGTGTAAGCTATGGCCCCGTAGATCTACAGCCGGCCGTAGGTCTATGGGGAGCCACCAGTACAGTGATTGCATACACGAAGACCGAAGTCGCAGTTCCCGTCATGCCCTCATCATCATGTCATGGTGTATATCTACATGATTGTACATAGCTGTAGCTGTGCAGTGTCTTTGGTCTGGCGTGGGTCATGCTGCTTGACAAGGCCACGAAGGCAGCTCTCCACTTGACCCCAGTTTCATCTTCGCTTCTTCTCGTTGTCGAAATTGGCTCGTTATTAGCCTTTTGTTGGAAAGTGGCTTCTTGCAATTTCAGGCACTCAGACTCGATGGGGCACCACGAGAGGGCTCAAACACCGCTGAGCGCCTGCTACGCTGCTACTGATCCATGCATGGTGCGCTGCGTTCAATGATGTCCAGAGAGGTAAGTGCAGGCTCGCAGCGATAGCGGCATATTGGTACAGTACGACTAGTACTAGGCGAAGTCGAAAGCATGGCAAGGTTCTACGTTGGCAGCACACATTGCATTACCAGTAGCTGCAGCAGTAGCAGATGCCGCTCTTCTGTCTTGGACGAATGTGTTGTCTTGTGTGTTGTACTCGGCTTGCTACACTGCGCCCAAGTTGTGGTTCAGGTGTTCCTGGCGCTGGAGACGAAGGGAGCGGCAAGACGAACGGACGGAGGGTGGAGAAGAGACGTCTTCGAGACGACTACTAGACCGGCGGAGGTGAACCTCACATCCGTAGTATTTACACTGCCCTGGCGTGTCCGGCAAACGGAACATTTCTGGATAAAAGCGGAACTTTCTGAGTGGGCTTTCCTTAGTTCGGACGAATGCCGTCCTGAAACTTTCATACTCGCAGGGAGTCTGAGGTGTCCTGCCGTGCCAGAAGAAAGGAAAGGACCTATCTCGTATGCTCGTTGCTATGGCAGGAGGCTTGACTGCGTGTCGTTTGCTAGCACTGCCGTTGGTGTTATTTCTGGTGACAATGACGACGATGCCCGTAACACTGGGTCATCATGGTGATGTCGTCCCGTGTCCTGAACGGTGCGTGTGTAGCAGGCGACCTGTACTGGGAGCGTCCACTAACTTGCACCATGACATCCTCACTGACTGCTCCTTCCAGGAGTTGAACAGAGTTCCGGAGAGCATTTGGCACGAGACAACAATACTGTGAGTGTAAACTAGTTCTCACTTCTATTGTTTTTGCAGCTGAGACACATTTGCACTGGCAACACAGCAATGGGTTCAAAATCCCGTCTTCTAATGCACAAGTCTACTGTCATCTTGCGCTAGCAAAGAGTAATGTAGAAAAATCATGTTGGGACCCAGTAGGGTAGTGTTTTGTTGTAGAAGTCAAATTGAAGTGGAGCGCAAGAGCGAAACAAATTGTGTTCACAATTATACTAGTAATGTGAACTAATTCCACCTCAATGTGATTCGCATTATAAATTTGTTGAGACAGGCGTGATGCGGTACGCTTGATGAGCTTCTAGCACCCTTTCTTTCATTGTCAACACGAGCACTGAATTTGCCGGCTTATTAGCCTCACCTCCGGTGTATAAGTTGCATCGCTTTCTTCACAGGAAGGAAACATATTCGAGGGCAGGTGTTTGGCAAATAATTCGGGAGAAATTTGTTTTTAAACAAGGCAAAACTTATTAAAATAAGTTTTGCCTTGGACTACAAAGTATTATGTTTCCGTGGGGGGGGGGGGGGAGGTATATGAGTGCAAGAAACACAAGCCACCCATTGCAAACTTGCAAACTAGCAGAGAAATTGACCACTATACACATGTTGTTATTAGTTCATCGGCACCAAGCCAAACAGGCAAAGTTGTGTGGCTGCTATATATTCACTGGTGAAACAAGCTGTTCCACATTCACCTGATATGACTGTATTGTTTGGTGGTTTGAACTCTCGAGGCTAGGGAGAGAATTATAGGTAGTATAATAGCATCATCGCGCAGAGGCCTGGCACGAAGGGGAACAAGGGATGGTTCAGCGGGTTCTATTCAATGTAGGGGCCTGACTTCAAGCCGCCGTCCCTTCCCATGGAGGGAATCCCTTTAGCTCTATGAAATCTCTGTTGCAGCACAGTTGCTCTGTGTTCTCATTGATCTTCCATAATGCACAGCATCTTATTCATACAACTTTAACCAGTGCACCGCATTTCCAATCAAATGCATGTGTTGAAGGAGGGCACCCTTCCTTTGCTCGTCGAAAGAATAGGTATTTTCAATATGAAACAAGCGGCACATGGCACACTCGGATACTTCATTAATAAACTTTAACCCGCAAGTTACACAGAATTCGCAACGAATAAGGGTTCAGGGATCAATATGAATGAGGCCATCAGATAGGGATGCATTGCTGGAGAAGGTTAGATTTTCGGCATTTTGAATTGTTTTCTCTCTATCCAACCACTGTCGTACAGCTGGCGCAGAAATGGTTCTGCGCCAGCTGAAGGTGGTCCGACCAATATACCACATGGGCATATTGACGGCGAGAATACTGTAAAAGCAGACATTTCCGGTGGTGTTTTATTTTCGGTAACTTTGTTGCCGACAATTTCTACTTAAATAAAACACACTGGAAATGTCGGTACTGGTACTAGCACACTTACCTGGGAAACGGGTTTACCGAAAATTTCCCTCCGCCGAACCGCCGATTGTGGAGAATACCGAAAATATTACACCACCGAAAATTTCTGCTTTTACAGTACATAACGATATTGTGATATTGTTATGATGACATGCAAGCCTACGCATACCAAGGCTGATCATGGAGCAAGAATTTCGGGCTTTCCTCTCGAGTGTACATACTTCAAACGATTTTACTTCAAACAATTTGCTCGTCTGATCTAAATATTACAGTTATGCCACCACCTTCGGGTATGGCTGAAGAGAGGTCCAGCATATCTAGACCAGCTCTGCTGCTTTGCTCTTGCAGACGCTAAATCCAGCGTTATCATCCATGCGGATGCTTGTATTCCAACTGATACTGGGACATGGGTGTGAAGGTCCCTCACAAGAGCCGTGATATTTGTTAGACCACCTTTTCAACTTGTTTTAATCATTTTTCCTCTCTTTAGATCCACTGTTAAGACCTGCTCGACCTGCTGACTGATTTTGGGAGGCTTGAATACGTCTCTAGAGATGGCAGGACTCCATCAGATGACTTTAAAATCCTTACTGTTACCTCATTGTGTGACCAGTAAACATTATAACTGTGCCGTCCATAATTATTATTACTGTTTTAATGACCAATATTGCATTTTTGATTGCTTGATTGGCGCAATACACATCCCACTGATTGGGTGACGGCCTACCCCAGCTGATGCTTACAGGTGATGGGGCTTGCGCTGGGTGAAATCTGAACCATGCCATATCAGGTCATAAAAGTGCCACGGGGGCATCATCTATTGTTGTGTTTGTTGACACCTTGAAGTCTAATCTCTTTTGTTCTGTTTTTTTCCGGTTTCCACAACACAGAAACCTAAGATTCAACCACCTGACTTCTCTCAACGCCACATCATTCAACTCCGCTGAGCTACCAGAACTTCATGAACTGTAAGTCTGTGTGTGTATGTGCGTGTGTGTGTGTGTGTGTGTGTGTGTGTGTGTGTGTGTGTGTGTGTGTGTGTGTGTGTGTGTGCCTGTGTGTGCACTCCATCGTGTTGCAGCAGCAAATAACGAGGCTGCCAAGTACAGTGCACATATCCTCGGGCTTTCAAGGAAATCAACCAATTCCAAAATTTAATGTTCGTTAGCATCTATTCTATCTGCGCACACGCGATTGGTGAAGGATCGCGAAACAATGATAAAAAAGCGATAGACGCGTGCTGCATGTGCTTCAAAGCAGAAAAATACAATGTGAAATGAGAATGTTAGTATTGTTCAATGAACCACATCAGATAATTATTCATAGATTTTCTGAAAAAACTCGCACATGAAAATGTGTTCATAAGCTTGACCGTACTGTAAGTCAATAAATATTCGGCGCATATCTATTTTTGGCTATTTTCGGCCTGATCATGTTTAGTCGAAATTTTGTTGCGATCGAAATTTTGTTTTGCAAGGTCCAGTGTGACAGTGTATACAGGCGACAGCAGTACAGGCCGAAAATTTGATGCGGCTGAAATGGGTTTTAGCCCTGAGAGGCCTAAATTTGAATGGGCTGAAATGTGTAGACTTACAGTGTTAGAGATTACTCAAATGCAAAAACCATTACTTTACTGATTCTAATTGAACTGTAGTTGTGTTTAACATTTGCACGCGGATGACCAGGTTTCAATTCGCAGCCAGTCAGCCATGCACGGGAAGTGGCAACCTAACACAACAATGAACTAGCTGTGCCAGTGCCCCCCCCCCCCCTCAGTTACATGCCTCCTACTATGTGCAGGGAAAGTGCTGCACAATTGGCCAACTTTGATTTGTAGCAAAGCAAAGAAGATCCACAAAACTGATATGAATTCAGCATGCTTCGAAGTAGTCTATTGTGATTAATTATGCAGTTTGTTATGAGGAAGTAGTCAAAATGAAATGCGTCAATAAAATTGATTGGCGGACAGAATGGCACCTGTTGAATTGCCACACCCGTAATATCCGTAATGATGAGGCCTGGAAGTTGTAGTAGCCGCACAAGGTAGTTGTGGCGGTACTTACCTTGTGGTCTTTTCAATGCATGGATCACATTTTCTTTTGTCTTTCAGCGCAGACCTTAAAATATCAGAAATAGGCATAGGCGAGTGATGCATTGGGTCTCCTCAGATACTCTCAGCTATTGAGCCAGACTTCTCAGTTCTCTAGCTCATGTTTCAAGGTCAACCTCGCCAGTTGCGGGATAATTTTTTGCGTTGTTTGTGTTGTATAAAAATTGCACCTCACACTACCGAGTAGGCATGAGTATGAGAAATTATATGTATTCCTGTTGTAGTGTGGTTCTACTTGGTCCGAGTCATCAATTTTGTCGCATCTGTCAGCTTGATTTTTATGTCGCCAATGGTCACTGTGTAGCCCATTTTTGGTTGGCAAGTTCGTTTACTACTACTTGAAAGGTCTAGCTAGATTTTTAGCGGAATTCAATAGCGACGGGTGGGCGGTTCTTATTGATAGCACGCCGCATCAAAATAGAATATTTTATCATACTGCACAGGCAAGAGCAGCACAACGCATAAGAAAAAAATATATGGTTACTGGGAATCAGTTCCATTTTTTTCCTCTTACAATCATGGCTGGATCAACAAACATTGCCATGCTGAGACGCTTACCTCGGGGATCGCTTGCCAACCTGAGATCGCAGTTCCCTCACCTCCAGCTCAACGCTGGGAGTATCCAGTGGCTGCGTTCGATTATGCACTTGAATCGATTCTTGAATCAAGTCGTTCGATTTTCACGTCATGAGCACTGGAATCGATTCGGAACCCATTCACCGTGGATAGCGCGAATCAATTCGCGGGCATAATCGAACGCACTCAGTGCATCGTGGAGATTTGCGAGTACTGTACGTGCTGTCGTTCGAATATTTCTTGCCACACAACGCGACTGATTTCAACCACACTGTGGTTGACCTGCCCACGCAAAGTTCTAGAGGGAAGGCGATCGTTACGATCGAATTCCCTCTAGAAAATAACCATGTAGTGGAGTGGGAGAGAGACGGGTTTGCGAAATCGTGGGAGTCGATCCAGAACAAAACGAAATGTCACCAGCGTCAAGAGAAGTGGCAAGGAGGACTGAAAAGAGTTTGAACCCTTCCTTGGATAAAAAATCCTCATGGCTAGTTATCATTCTATACCTTATCTTCCATTGTACCAAGTTTATCACCTCAAGTGCATGCTTTGTTGTCCAAAGTCTCAGTTCAAATTGTCGAAAGATAAGCGACAATATTGGTGACGCGCACCAAGTACATATATTCACTAGGGTGTTGCAGGATCCTTAGGAACTTGAAATAGATATCCGCACTACTTCTGTGTTACTATCACGTCCCTGTGATTGAATAATTATTACACCGTGTGTGTGTGTGTGTGTGTGTGTGTTTTGCTTCACTTTCCTGCTGATGTTAGTTTGTGAAGATCTAAGTTTAAGAAATTCAGTTAAACCACTAAAGACTAATTCAGGGTGATCTGCATACATCTTCCGATGGTTATCTGCAGGATATTGACAGGCAACGAGCTGACAAATTTGGAGAGACAGCATGAGATTCTGTGTTCATGGTCGACTATCCTGAGAGTGTAAGTGGCAGTGGTTTGTTGTAAATAATGGCATGCAACCATAGTACTCGATCACCGTGAGATTTAAACCGGGATCTTTGACTCCAGTAGGATCTGTGGTTCATGGGACAGACGATCGAGGCTGTGAACTCGGTACTCCAAAAAGGAACATATTATGTGAGTGTCTGTAAATTTGGCGCGTCCAACGGTGACTCAATCGGGAAACTCCGGAGGAAATCCTACATCCCTTCACGCCCTCCGGTTGGGTAACACCAGGAACACATCAGACTCACTGATGCAAAGTAGGAAGGGCGCTGATGCAATGTCTCTTTGCACGCTGTGTAGCGAATACAAACTCTTGTGCTGGAACAAGCTTAGCAGATAAATAGTTTGTGTTAAGGCTGGGCCTGAATTCCTCCACGTAACAAAATGCTTGCCCTGATAGCAGCCAGGGATGCCAGAGACAAACAACATGAATTATATATGATTTTGTAGAACTTGTTGCTTGGGTTTAGGCAAAGTGTAGGGATTTGGGAAGAGTGAAAGAATGAAGCAAGATCTAAGCAATATGTCCTAGTCAACTCCGGGTTCAGAGGAAACTAGATCTCGGTCTGACAATACCCGGTTTTGATCGCCAAGCAGACATTGTCCACCACGGCCCCCAGTTTATTGACTTGAGGAAGCCGCATGTTTGTTTATCAAATCCAACTCACTTTGCAACGCTTGACGGTGCATTGCACTGTCTGTTCACAGTTACTTTATCATCTGGTGAGGCGACAAAAAGGAAGACGTTTCCTGGCGAGTAGCACACCAAGTATGTCTCTCCGAACATAGTTGGCGATAATTACTTTCTTTAGCTGATGGATTCAATGATAGCTGCACAGCAGATAGAGCTTCTCTTGAAAGCAATAATTGTACAAAGCCTGCAGACATTCAGCAACATATGAAACTTTCTTCACTTCAAGAACGTATCCGTCTGCTTTGAATGCGGAAATGGTTGGTAGCGAAAAGGAATCCGGAGGATTCCAAGCAAACCTGTTTCAGTACGTGTAATGATAATATTCGCATATATTGAGATTCTGACCTGGATTTCACAAATCGAACATGCACAAGTCCAACTAATCCGCATGACTTCTAAGCCCTCGGTATGCAACTAACCAAGGTGTACTGAGTCTTTGAGAGCCAGGTTTCGTGCTCAATTGTGTCCATATGGTGATAGCAGGTGCTTGTCAAATAGTTTGAGATAACACCAGTCAGTGTGTACTGCATATTCCAGAGTACACGTCGCACTTCAAACACCATCAATTCACTCCGAAAAAGTCAGTATGGCTTATAATATGATGGTCAAAGTTATGGCGATAAATAGGGTAGATGTCTGCATTTCGTGACAAAAATCAGGATGCAGGTTATACTCCAGTGTGGCTTATACTCCGAAAAAATACTGTGTTGGTTTCTCGAGGAAAGCTGTGTTCCCAATACCAGGCACAACTGTTCCTCTCTATTGTGCGGGTGTCAGTGTCAGAAGGCCAGGATTGCTGTGGCGTGTAGAGACCATGAACAAAGAAGATTGTCACCACATTGTGTTGTGAAGAGATCTGAACATCTGGACTTACATTTTGGCAGCATCAAGCACTATCTTCCCTGTAGTTTGACATCATAAAAAAATTAATATTCATCATCGCAGTGGGGTGCAATGGCAGGTTTGGATATAGGGGATGTGTGACCAATGTTCAGCTTGCCTCTTCATCAGTGTATTTGGGGCCAGCGTGCTCTGCTCGTGTGTAAATATGGCGGAACAATGCCAGTTCAGTCAGTCATGCACTTGCAGCAATAATCATGTCACTCCTAACGGCTCTGATGGGCCACTTGAATGTGTCTGCCGAAGAAGACCTCCGTGTGCAGCAGTTTCATTGTATGGGCTCTAGTACTGCACTGAACTATGTGCATACAGTCAGTGTTTGAAGAGCTGAACACTAGTACTAGTAGTAGTACCTGTGTGTTGTTTGTAATTCTGTACAATCATGGATGATGCACTTTCAGGCACTCCTACTGCTGAGAACACTGCACGCCACAGGTTATAAGGGGAAGTTTCATTTCCCTCCTCCTCCTTACACTGTGAATGTGGTCTGTGTTTCCCCATACCTTGAAGCCAAACACACACACACACACACTCATATACACACACCATGGTTTATTGAAATTGAGCTGGTGATTACCATTGTGCAATCAAGCTTCGGAATTGACTACATAGCAATGGAATAAACAGGCAGACTGGATACTGGGCTGTAAACGCCATTGTGTCATCCGGGATTTTCTATCTTCAGGGCTGTGGCCCATTCTTTAGTACTTCACCTGAAGGCATATTTCGTAACAGGAAATCCGCTTCAGGACGTTGTGGGTTGTTGCCAGATTGGATAGTTAAGCAGGTGATGGTAAACATGTACACAGATCTGGGCTGTGTAAGGCATAGTAGGTGGTTGACGAAACGTTCCCATCTATTTTGTGCTGCACGTTATCCCTAGAGTTTAGTTTCAAAAGAATCGTGACATATGCCATGCTTTTTGCCCGTGTGTGTCTGTGCCGTATGTACTAGTGCGGGTAATTGCACACTAGATTTTGTATAGATGTGCTGGTATCATTGCAACACTGTGTAGTGTTACCTGGGTTGTCATCCTTGTTAATGGAATCTCTTCAGTGTGTGCCCTTGCATCACCGTCTTCAGCTCCCATCCAGCAGCGGTACTCATCCACAGTGGTTGCGTGTTACAAAACACAATGAAACTGTGTGTATCAGTCCTTGCAAATCTATTTAGTGCTGGTGATCGGCAAGTGACTATGGATAGTGGTCTAGGGTTATCACAGCCATTCATTAGAGAGTTGCTTAGTTGAATCAAAATACAAGTTCTGAAGTGCCGGACATTTGAACAAGCCTCCACAAAGTTCAAGTCTACGGATACCTTTCCAAGTAAACATTCCTGATAACAACAGGAGCATTGGAGGAAAAATGGCATTGTCCTGAGCACAGACACCTATCAGAGATTACCATCTCCAGGTGACGCCGCTCGCAAAGGAAGGCGCACAGTGAGCTACTGTGGATTGTGGATCTGTTCCTATTTTCTCGATAACTAACGTGTTACTTGCTTCTTCTGTCCATTGTGACTGTGGCAGTGTGAGGCATGTGATCAGAGTGAGAACTGGCCTCTCCACAAGTGACATGTTCTGCCTTTGTCATGCTAAGGAGCCCCCTTTGTCATGCATTCCTTGCCATTCCAAGTGAGGCAACACTCATTATCTGCAGGGCAATTGTTCTTGAGTGGCGTACTGATAGCGTTGATCACATGCAGGCCTGAAGTTTGCCTGCTGCCGCCATTTGTAATTAGCACTGGCGGGTAGATTCAACGTGCACTTGCCAGATCATCAGCTTGCAATGCCATTGTAGCAGTTGAGTGGAAACTTACTTTGTATACTATCGATACCATGACCACTCTTACCAAATCCATGTTCTGCCCTCTCTCCCTGAGAAAAGCCTGCAACAGCAATGATCATAACGTTGTTGAAGGGAAACAGCTGGAGCGTTGACCGTCACATGTGTGTCATCAATAAAGAAGATTCTGAGTGACCCACACACATTCCTGCACCATCTCCCTATCATGGACTGTAGTTTTTCCTGAGGGGCCCGAGCAATTAACTTGAACTGAAACGTGATATTTGGCAGTGAAGCATGTCGGCGTCACATTGCATAGCAACCAACAGTTTCTCCCCCGGGGGTAGAGTAAGGTGTCTTTGTCGGCTTTGGGCATTGTGAGTAATAAATCGGGCGGTTTCTGTGCACACAGTAAATTCCTTACGCAGGAAGTATGCGTACAGTCGACTCCTGGTATAACGAACACCATTGTGTAGGAGAATTAGTTCTTTATAGCCAAAGTTCGTT